CCCCCCAGCAATCATGTGTCACTATTTAGTAAAACCATAATGTGATATATCTGTACAATACAAGTGCCTCGCACTGAACACGAACTTTACATTCCTTTCTTGGAAGAAAGATAAATAATTAGAAAACTCTCACGCAACACATCACCCTTTCAGACAGTTCATTCACAACGTAGCAATAATTATAAATGCTGTAGTGAAAGCGCTCTCCCAAGTTGTTTTCGCGCAAGGGATAACAAGTAAGAACAGAATGTGACAAGACTCGGCCCGATTTGTCTGTCTTGATGTCGTCTTAACCGTGTGTGCACATCTCCCATTTTCCCGGAAATAGATCGCTCGCCGAGCAAAGTGCTGGCGGTCGAGATACGTTCACTTTCATTTACTCCTCGGCTTCACGTCGATCCCAGAAGGCCACGACGAGTTTTATACCGGGAGATGTTGTCGACTTGTCACTTGATTCTAGTGCCGTCCAGCAGTTTGTTTATGGGTCTTTGGCGGGTGCGTGGGTTTCTCCTTCTTCCCTATCCAGCACCTATCGTCATCATCTCTCCGTCTTATTAAAGTAATATCTTTTACTATTGTAACCTAATCTAACCTATTTATGTTTCAAGGGTCGTAAAACTTACTTTAAAAAACCCACCAGAACTAAAAACAAAAACAAAACCTCCCAAAACGAGCAACTAAGGAGTTTGTTGAGAGAAATGCAGCCCGTCGTTCGGAGGCGGGAAACGATCTAAGACGTCTGTGCATGGGCATCAATGACCCGCTTATCCGTCACTCGTGATGTGAGGGTGCCATGGAGACCTTAAACAAATGTAGGGAAGTCTCGCGTCGGAGCGATTACGGTGCAATGAGCCATTTACCGTGGCATTTTCTGCCTGACTAGACCAATTTTATGCCGTGCTGATGATGTCTGTTGGCAGTGACGGATTGAATATGGTGGAGAGTCCCGTGATTCTGGTGGAAAGTCCCCACCAGGTCTCAGTATCACAGACAAAATCCAATTGGGAACCCGTCCAAGTTGTCTGGCTTGGCAGATGGTATTACTCTGTTCTGCAATGTAGCATAGAGGAATTCTGAGTAAACCATCTTTGGCTCCATATAGCCCCCACGTCTGCCTATGAATTACGAGAAAAGAGCTGCATGCATACTTTTATAAAGATAACCATAAATGTCAGTCAACAACAAAAAAAAGAAGGAAAAACAAACAAAATAACCCCCTCCCCCAATAATAGCCCTTTAGAAAAGCATTACAATAGCAACTTCAAACAGTAAAGAAACATACAAAAAACGCACCTCCACTCCTCCCCCCCTCTTCATCTCTCACAAGAATAGACGAATCTACCTTAAAAAAAGACCCCGCCTTCACCCCCCCCCCACCCTTGGGCTCCTCCTAAAGCTAAACCAGAGAGTTTACAGTATCTGGCTAAACTATATAATAAAAAAGAAAACAGCTTTCGGATGTGTTAACATGGGTAAGACTGTGATTTGGTATATCATAAGTATGCATTGTTCTTGCGTGAAGGCAGATCAGGGTTGGGATGACGTTCACAGTGTGTTGGGCGTAGCTAATTGGCCTACTGCACCCCAGGTCGGAGGTGTAACTCCTGTCAGTTGTGTTGCCTTTAATAGACGCTGCAGGCTTTTGTGTTAGTAGAGTCCTTGTTGTATTCGTCTGTCAGGTTTTTTTGTTTGGTGTCAACCTTCTGCGCTGTAGTCGTCATGGGGTCAGGCGTGTGAGCCGCTCTGACACGTGCACGGCGGTGCATTGCATCCAATGATTAGGCATCCTTTGACGATCTGATGGCAGTGTACCATTCTACTTTTTTTTTTGCTCGTTTTTGGTCGTTGTATTATTCTGGCCCACGTATATTTATTGTCTGAAGGCAGCATTTTTTTGTTTGTTATAGAGTTTTGGGAGTGTTGGAGATTGTAGCTGTTCCATGATCATGACATTTTGTAACATAAGAACGTATGCAGCATTTGCTTTCCTGTCCGTAAAGTCTGCCGTTTTATTCACTTTTATATAAAACAGGTTGGGGTGTTGGGGGGGGGGGGGTGTAGCTAATTGTTCTTTTGCGATCTTGTAGGTGGTGTCTTTCTATTTAATTATATATATGCACATAAAAATTGTGTTAACGTATGAGTTTTATGCTTTCTGAGAATGCGTTGTACTCCGTGTGTGGCACTGAAATAGTGTCTCATTTTAAAAAAAAATACTTTTAGAGAAATCATAAACATCTCTCGAGTTAGCTGCAATATAGTGTCCTCCCTGTACTATCCTGTCAGGGCCTTCTTTGTGTCTACCTTCGACGCTGTTGTAGACATAGTCGGTGTGTGAGTTCATGCCGGACTCACTGGTATGTTGGTGGACTGTGGCTAGTGCCAGGGGACCCTTGTTGAAGCTCCCCACAGGGCGTTATTAAGCATGCTTTTGTTTTGAGTGTTAATGGCTCCCCCCTGCCTGTTATGTAGGACGTCACACGTTGGAGGTCCAGCCTCTCGAACAACATCTCAGCGTTGAAACATGCTGTATGGAAAAGTGGACTTTGCTCAAGCCGGTCACCAACACAGCGTGTTTGAAATCACTGGGTTCACGAGGAGCTTTTAATGGCACCCCTGCTCCCATTTAAGTCCGGTCATATCGGGGATGGACGCGCCTGTCCTGGGCCTCAAGGCGTCTGCGTGCAGTTGTCGGGGGGCGGCATGCCTCTGAGGCACATCTCCGACTTGAGCGTCACGCCGCCGTTGTTGATGTCCGTGGTGCGGGAGTACGAGGTGCCCCTCCCGTCGCGTGCCCGGTTCCAGCACAGGCGGTAGCCGAAGAACTTGCCCAGCTCCTTCTTGAAGTTGTCATTTAGCCAGCCGTAGAGGAACGGGTTGATGCAGGCGGAGCTCATGGCGAACACCTTGAGGATCAGGTCGATGAGCACGAAGTACTTGCCGCGCACCACGCGGTGACTGAACTCGGCCGTGAGCGAGTAGAGGTTCCATGGCAGCCAGCACACCGTGAACGTGAGCACCACGGCGATCAGGATGCGGTTGGTGCGCTGGCTGCGGCGCGTGTCGTGTTTGCGCACGGGCCTGTTGTGCAGGACGTGGCAGATGTGTTTGTAGAAGAAGGAGGTCAGACAGATGGGCACCACGAACTGCAGCAGGAAGATGGAGACGGAGTAGACCTGTTTGTGCAGGTACGATGGCCACTGCTCCGAGCAGGACGTCTGAAACACACGAAACATAACATTTGTATATAAAGTATTGCTGTGGGCGCTCTCGCTCTCTCTCTCTCTCTCTTTCTCTCTCTCTCTTTCTCTCTCTCCCCCTCTCCCCTCTCACCCCCCCCCCTTTTACACTCGCAAACACATACACATACACACACAAACACTTACATGTCATGTTAATATAATCCAATATATCTGTGAGTTTTATTTGTGTATGTGGGTTAGGGTTATGTACATAATATATAATACACTCACGAACTTATATTATGTACATTAACTCGCACGCACGCGCGCAAACACACTTTTGTACGTGCCAATTGTAAGGCTCCGAGTTTCACAGGGCGAGGCGGACAAAAGTGGTGAGACTTTTGCGTTCTTCCGGACAGATAAGCTCAGAAGTTGCTGTGCGTGTAGCTTTCAATTGGTTCTGTTTTGGTTTGACCTTTTCGCCTTATCAATGTTTTCGTCTCATGGGTCTTTATTTCTGTTTCTGATCTTTAACAAAAATTTCCTGGTCCTTTCAGAACGCCGGGCCTGGGAACGTCTGGCTCTGATAACCGCAACAAAAGTGAAAATCGATTCATTCAAAGATAGGAAGATGGCGTCTTTAGTCCTATTCTCTTCCTCTACTTCTGTATTTAGAGAGACCAAATGAGGGAGGGAGGGAGAGGCGTAGGATCTTTGATGTACCAGTACGCTATAATATAAGTATGGTGGTAATAATGTGACATTATAATAATGAAATTAATGAAAATAATAATATTTAAAACACATGATGATGATGATGATCTTACGCGTGAATGCTGAAGAAACCGCTCTCCCAGTGCGCGCACTATTGGGGGCCACTTATTGAGTCAATGGGGACTGAGGCGTCGAACATTTCATGGGGATGAAGTAGGCTGTTGCAGGTATGATCGGTTGTCATAAAAATAAACTAGAATATAATTATTATGCTTTGCCCCGGGGTGAAAGTAGATTGGATTGCAATTTCTTTGCCTGTCTATAAGGGCGGTGGCTGGAGGGAGTCGCTGGTAAGGCCGACAACTACTTCTTTTCTATCCTCCTATTGTTTTTGTACGCCCACCTGGCTTTTTCCTTGTACTAAATTACCCTTGTCCTGTCCGTGTGATTCTCTTTACTTCTTTTCAAAGCCTTGTTTTGTTTGAGCGCATTGCCAAGGGCAATTTGTATTTGTATATGAATGGAAGTATCACAACAGAAAATGATTTAGGGCTCCTGATTTGTAAAGATTAGTAAATGTTATAGATGATACGAGTTTCTGTCCAAAATTGGCAACAGCAGTTATGAAGAAGATGACATATTATTACATGGGTGGTTTGCGAAGGTACTGCTCGGCTGCTTTCGAGAAGGTTGGTGGATTATCTAGAAATTTGCCACAAATGCCTTTGTCCTGATTTACTAAACCCTTCGTGTAATCTGATATGTGCGAAGTCAAATAAATAAGACTTCTGTTGCCGTGGAGATGTAATTACGATGTCGGAGTCGAATGGGAAGACGATATTGTGTTTGTCGTTTGTCCGGTGTTTGTTTTGTAAGTTTAATTGAAAAAGTCGAAATGTATTCGGTAAAAAAAAACCCAACAAAAAACCCAACGCTTCCTGTAAAATAAGATGACTGCCGAGCTAAGTTAATACTTCTTTATTAACTCGAGTGTTTTTGGGCAAGAGTGCGGAATGGGACAGAGGATGGAGTCTTGACTTTTCTTATTTGTACGAGTATATCATTATTTGTAACACAACATTTGTTTACTTAGAGGGCTATTCATATGACTTTATGCAGTTGCGAGCCCTGTAAAACCTCTACTAAAACCAGCTATAATTTTCAATATTCTGGGGACAAAACCTTGCAGAATACATTTTATCACTTATAAAGGGCTTACTTTGTATAGCTCTTTTTCCAATGGACTTTGATGCTTTTGTTCCGGCTTCAATAGTGTTATGGCCATCCTCTTGGCTATTGCGCGCTGAGAGCTTGAGTTCAAAATCTATTTTGCCCACAATTGCCATTTTAAAAAATGGGTTGGTGGATCTAATACAGCCTTGGTTGACCCCGACTAGCAGGATCGAAGCAGACTGACTACCTTCTTAGACTTCTAAATTATCTAGATTTTAAAACATTAATAGTACAAAAGTGACGACGCCCATTGTGTGCTCAAATGGCTTATTTTATGTTCGTTTGTTTATATCTTTAGCAAGCCGCCCCCTCCCAACCTCAAAATATCAAAAGTGTGCAGCCCTCTAAGTAAAGAATTTTTGGAGGGCACGAATTATGTAAGTAGACCGAGAATAACAGGGAAATAAGAGCTATACTCTATAAACTGTTGCCCTCTAGCTCTCCTAGAGAATGGGACAAAGCTTCTATTAAATCCGTCATATTTCCCCGGGCGAATATTATTCTTGAAGAAATGAAGCGAAAGTGGGTTCGTTCCGTGCGATATCGTTTTCCGTCCCAGAGCTTCGTATTTCAGTTAATACCGTCAGACACGAAGCCCCTATAACGTCTGGTTCATCGCGAGCGGATTTTTTGCCAATCACTCCGGACGGACATGGAGAAGTCCTTGAGACAAACAGCGTTAAGTATGACGTAATTGTACCGTTGTTACCCTTTTTTCCTCGATTGTTCTCTATCCCTGCATAAACCAAGGTTTGCATGGAGAGCTGTGAGGTGAGGTGGATTAGGTCACTTAGAAAGACCCACTCCCCCTTCCTCCTCGATCTACACCCTGATCAGCCCGACAAATAAATTTCATTAAAAAAAAAAACCCAAGCGAAAAAAAAAAAGCAAGAGCAACAAAAAATAAATAACAACCACAACCCATTTTAAAAAAAGAAAGAAAGTAAGAAGGTGAACAAATCTGGTGGGATTGTTATGTAATGATTTGAAGGCGTCACTTCCTCATGTATTATTTTACGTGAGATCGTGCCATCTGGGGGTTATTGTTACGACAACACTGTATTTATGGCGGCATTCATTTCGAACTTTTATCCTTCATGCCGTCAAGGATTTTTGTTGCTTAATTTCCCTTTTTTTTGTGGCCTCATCACCTCCAAACAATACAATAATAAGACGAAAAGGAGGAAGACACATGGATTCAAATCTCCCCCCCCTCCTCTCTCTCTCTCTCTCTCTCTCTCTCTCTCTC